TCTGATCTTCCACCAGATTATCCTAGATAAGCCCCCTCTTTCAACAAACCTTGCATACTGACACTATAAAAATAATTCTCCAATCCTGTCATAACATGGGCCAGGCATGGTGGCTCATGACTGTAATTTTAGCACTTTGGGAGTCTGAGGCAGGAGGACTGCTCAAGGCCAGGAGTTCAATACCAGCCTGGGTAACCTCGCATGACTCCATCTCTACAAAAATTTTTTTAAAATTAGCTTAGCATCATGGCATGCACCTGTAGTCCCAGCTACTGTGGAGGCTGAGGTGGGAGGATTACTTGAGCTCAGGAGTTTGAGGCTGCAGTAAGCTATGATCATGCCACTGCACTCCAGCCTGGGCAACAGCACAAGACTCTCTCTCTGTGTCTCTTTTTTAAAAATTATTATTTTTATAGAGATGGGGTCTCACTACATTGCCCAGGCTGATTGAACTCCAGGGCTCAAGTGATCTGTCTGCCTTGGCCTCCAAAGTGCTGGGACTACAGGCATGAGCCACCATGCCAAGCTGACCCTGTCTCTTGATTGATTGAGACGGAATTTCACTCTTCCAGGCTAGAGTGCAATGGTTCAATCTTGGCTCATTGCAACCTCTGCTTCCCAAGTTCAAGTGATTCTCCTGCCTCAGCCTCCCCAATAGCTAGGATTACAGGCATGCGCCACCATGCCCAGTTAATTTTGTATTTTTAGTAGGGATGGGGTTTCACCATGTTGGTCAGGCTGATCTCAAACTCCTGACCTCAAGTGATCCACCCGCCTCAGCCTCCCAAAGTGCTAGGATTACATGGGGTAATTACAGGCCACAGCCCCTAGCCCAGTCTCTCAAAAAAAAAGGGCCCAGCATGATGGCTCATAGCTATAATTCCAGCACTTTGGGAGGCCAAGGTGGGCAGATCACTTGAACCCAGGAGTTCCAAGATCAGCCTGAGCAACATGGCAAAACTCTGTCTCTACAAAAAATACAAAAATTAGCCAGGCTTGGCGGTGTGTGCCTGTAGTCCCAACTACTCGACAGGCTGAGGTGGGAGAATCACTTGAGCCCAGCAGGTCAAAGCTGCAGTGAGCTATGTATGTGCCACTGCATTCCAGCCTGGGCGACAGAGCAAGACCCTGTCTCAAAAGTAACAATAATAAAAGATGAGTTTGACCTTCTCTCTCTCCTCACCATGTGATGCCTTCCTTGATGTTACAATGCAGCAAGAAGGTCCTCAACAGCCTCCTGATCTTGGACTTAACCTCCAGAACTGTGAGCCAAATAAATTTCTGTACATTATATAATATCCTACAGGTCATACTCTGTTATGGCAGCACAATAGGGACTAAGACAGCTTCTCAGAGACCTTCCGGGAGGTTCCAATTTATTTTCTTACACTTCCCCCATACCTTTCACACACTCTGCTTCAGTCTCACCAGAACCCTGCAATCTCCAGAACTTGCCTTTTACTGACACCTCTTTCTCTACCTAGGAAACATCTCTTACCAAATTCTATATATGTCCTAAGATACTTCTTCCAAAACCTTTTCCCAATTTCCTCAATATTCTAAAATCAGCTATTATATGCCTCTATCATCAGTCACACTGTATTTTGATACATACTCATGAACGTATCTCATCTGACTTAGTCAAGCCCATATTTCCAGCATGTAGCATGCAATAAACACTAACTGTTTAGGCCGGGCGTCATGGCTCATCCCTGTATTCTTAGCGGTCCGGGAGGCTGAAGCAGGCAGATCACTTGAGGTCAGAAGCTCGGGACCAGCCTGGCCAACATGGTGAAACCCTGTCTCTACCAGAAATATAAAAATTAGCCAGGCATGGTGGTGTGTCCCTGTAGTCCCAGCTACTTCGGATGCTGAGAAAAGAGAATCACTTGAATCCAGGAGGTGGAGTTTACAGTGAGCCAGGATGGTGCCCCTGAACTCCAGCCTGGGTGACAGAAGGAGACTCTATCTCAAAAAAAAAATAAATAAAACACTAATTGGATTCAGAATTGAATTTTAGGCGGAGTTGGAGAATGGTTTTAAGTGAACAATCTTGTAGCTTGAAATATGATCTATATGGTGACAGCACCCAAATTTATAGCTCCAGCCACAAATCTCCCCTGAAAGTACAGACTAAAAGCCTATTCAATATCTCTATCTGACACAAATATATTCCAACTTCAAATCCTGGACTTCCTTCCAAAGCTGCTCCATTCACATTCTTACCTATCTCAGTTAATAGCAACTCCATCCTTCCAATTGTTTGGCAAAAGACTTAAAGTTATCCTTCTCTCCTATTTATCTTGCATCCCATATATCCTACCTTTAGTAAATCATATTGTCCCCAACTTTAAAGTATAAAAGCATACTTCATTTATCTCCACTTTGTTTTACTGAGCTTTTCGCAAGCTAAAGATTTGCGGCCACCCTGCATCAAGCAGGTCTATCAGCACCATTTTTCCAACAACAATGTGCTGTCTCTGTGTCACATTTTGGTGATTGTCGAACTATTTCAAACTTTTTCATTTGTATTACATCTGTTATACTGATCTGTGATCAGTGCTCTTTGATACTACTACTGTAAATGTTTTAAGACACAGTGGCCATATAAGATGGTGAAGTTTATAAATGCTATGTAAGTTCTAACTGCTCCACCAACCGGTGGTCCTCCTCTCCCTCTCCTCAGGCCTCCCCATTCTTATTAACCTATCACAGCCTCTAAGTGTTCAAGCAAAAGGAAGAGTCGCATGTCTCTCATTTTAAATCAAAAGTCAGATTAAGCTTAGTGAGGAAGACATGTTGAAAGAAGATACAAGCCAAAAGCTAGGCCTCTTGTGCCAAATGGCTAGCCAAGTTGTGAATGCAACTATTGAGAAAGGGTCTCACTCTGTCACCCAGGCTGGAACGTAAAGGCGTAGTCATAGCTCATTGCAGCCTCAAACCCCTAGGCTCAGGATATCCTCCTGCTCTGGCCTCCTGAAGTGCTGGGATTAGAGTTGTGAGCCACCGTGCCTGACTGAAAAAGTTTGTGAAAGAAATTCATAGTGATTCATAGATAGTGATTGCTCCAATGGATCTGAACAAAGTAGATTAAAAACCTCCTAGAAAGGAGGTTTTGATTCACTATTCAAGATACCTTTAGGAACATTCATGATTTATGGAAGGAGGTCAAAAGAGCAACATTAACAAGAGTTTGAAAGAAGAAATGCCAGCCCTTACAGATGAATTTGAGGGGTTCGAGACTTCAGTGGAAGAAGTCACTTCAGATGTACTGGAAACAGCAAGAGAAGTAGAATTAAAGTAGAGCCACAAGATGTGACTGAATTGCTGCAATCTCATGATGAAACTTTAATGGATGAGGAGTGGCTTCTTATGGATGAGGAAAGGAAGTGCTTTTTTGAGAAGGAACCTACTGGTGAAGATGCTGTGAACACTGTTGAAATGTGAACAAAGGATTTATAATATACATAAACTTGGTTGATAAAGCTGCCTTGACTTCCTGGGCTCAAGGGATCCTCCTGCCTCAGCCTTCCATGTAGCTGGGGCCACAGGAATCCCACCATATTTGGCTAATTTTATTTTTTGTAGAGGTGGGGGTCTCACTTTCTTGCCCAGGCAGGTTTCAGATTCCTGGGCTTAAGCAATCCTCTTGCCTCAGCCTCCCAAAGTGCTGAGATTACAGTGGATGCAGTGGCTCACCCTTGTAATCCCAGCACTTTCAGAGGCCAAGGAGGGCAAATTACTTGAGGTCTGGAGTTCAAGATCCGCCTGGTCAGCATGGGGAAACCTCATCTCTACTAAAAATACAAAAATTAGCTGGGCGTGGTGGCAGGCACCTGTAATCCCAGCCACATGGAAGGCTGAGGCAGGAGAATCACTTGAACCTGGGAGGTGGAGGTTGCAGTCAGCCAAGATTGCGCCACTGCACTCCAGCCTGGGCAACAGAGTGAGACTCTGCCTCAATAAATAAATAAATAAATAAATAAATAAATAAAGTGCTGAGATTATAGGTGTGAGCCTTCCTGCCCAGCCTAAGTATTTTTTAATCAAGGTATGTTAGTTTTTTTTTTTTTTTTTGGGACATAAAGGTACTGCACACTTAATAGACTATGATATAATGTAAAAATAACTTTTTTGCCCCATATGATCTGCAGGAAAATTTTTATATGCACTGGAAAACAAAACAAAAAAAGTATGTGACTTGCTTTACTGCAGTGGTCTGTAAGTGAACCCCCAAGAGCTCCAAGGCATCCCTGGATCTAGAATCCGACTACTTCTCACCATCCCTTGAGCTTCGCCCTGGTTCAAGTCTCCAATATCTCTCATTTAGACAAGTAACTACAATAGCTTCCTAACCAGTTTTCCTTTCAGTCAATTCCCATCAACAGACACATTAAACCTCTTAAAACATAAATCAGATCATGTCACTCCCCTCTACCATCCACCTCACAACAGTAAAAGTCAGTGTCCCACAATCTACAAAGACCTACCAGGTCTTATCCTCTTCCCTCATCTTCTACACTCCAGGCTCAGTCCTCTGTAGCCAGATTGCTTCCCATTCTGATGCATAGCTTCTAAGCCTCAAGGCCTTTGCACTTGGCAGTTCCTTCAGCCTGTACCCCTATTCTCCCAGATGTATGTATGGTTGTGATCCCTCACCTCCTTGAAGTCTTTGCTAATATGTCACCTTCCTTGTGACTAACAATGACATTTAAAACTGCACTACCTGGACAGGCGGGGTGGCTCACGCCTGTAATTCCAACACTTTGGGAGGCGAGGAGGGCGGACTGCCGGAACTCAGGAGATCCAGGAAGGCCTGGCCAACACCACGCAGCCCCATCTCTACTAAAAATATAAAAAATTAGCTGGGCCTGGTAGCGTGGGCCCATAGTCCCAGCTACTCGAGAGTTTGAGGCAGGAGAATTGCTTGAACTCAGGAGGCAGTGGTTGCAGTGAGCCTCTCTGCAGAGGTTGCATAGGCTGGAGTGAAGTAGATCGCGCTCCTCTTCACTCCAGCCAGAGAGACAGAGGGACACTCTACCTCAAAAAAAAAAAAAAAAAAAAAAAAAACAAAAAAAAAAAAAAAAAAAAAAAAAAAAAAAAAAAACTACACTACCTATCATTCTTCTTTATCTCAATCCACTGCACTCATAACCTTCTAATGCACAATTTTTTATTTTGCTTATTGTCTGTCTTCCTACACAAGAGATATTAATATTAAGCTCCACAAAGACAAGAATTTTTTTGTATGTTTTGCTCACTGCTATATAACCAGATTCTGATACATAGTTGGAATTCAATAAGTAACTGCTAAATGGAATTAACAGGCAACAGGGAAACATTCTAGTCAGACGTATTTTGAGGCACTAATGACCAGACTCCAAGAGTGCAGAGGCAAGGCAGAGTGGAGAGAGGAAACGGAGAAAGCGGAGAAGAAGGAACGGAAAAAAGGTAAAGGGGTCGACCCACGTGGAGGAATAGCCTACCTGAGGGGTTGAAGGACTTCTGATGACGAGAAAATCTATCACAAGACTGTCTCCAATACCATGATGTGGAAGCGTGGAAATTCCAGGAAGGCTGGCCATAGGGTTGAGGCTGAGAATCAATGGGGGACTGGGCATCGAAAGGGGGTTGCGCCCCGGGAAGAATCTGGGCGTCGAAGGGGGGCGGCGCCCCGGGGAGAGACTGGGCCTCCATGGGGGGCTGCGACTCAGAGGAAGGCTTTGACCCGGCTGCGGGAGACGAAGACGTAAGCGGTGGCGGCATTGTCCACAGCATCCAGCCGTCCCGCCGCGGCGCAGTGTCGCTCTGGGGCCCTAACGTGGGAGTCAGCTCGGGAGACGCACGCCACCCGGCAGGACTTACGAAATCACTAGCCGGCTCAGCCATACCTTCTGCCGGGTCCTGAGTCTAGCACGCGACTGTGGAGCAAGTATTAGACGTCACTTCCGTGACCGTAAACTTCACGGTCCAGCCAACCACAGAGTTTACGTCATTAGTCGGCGCCGGGAAACCTTCCATTCTTCTATACGGATCGCGAGATTACTTTGGGATAGGTTTGACGTACCTGGATAGACTCGTATCTGTGACCAGTGTCCGCCACCGCGGATGGCAAGGGACCTGATCGGACCGGCCCTGCCGCCCGGCTTCAAGGCCCGCGGAACAGCGGAGGACGAAGAGCGGGATCCAAGCCCCGGTAAGCGGCGGCGTCTCCGCAGCCCACCAGGCCTATCTGCCCCCTCCCTGGCCGGGCCCTGCACGCTGAAGAAAGGTCGGAGGCCTAGGAGGACGGAGGAGTGGGGAGTGGGCACGGCCCGACCCGAGAGAACTTTTCTTCCCAAACGCTAGCAGTAGGGAAGAGGCTGGGGTACCCTCCTAGAAACCGAGTTTTGGCGTAGTAATCTTCGTAATGACAATACATTCTCATGTAGCGCTTAATGTGAGCTGCACGCTGCCCTAACTGACTGATACTCATTCAGTCATTTAATCCGTCTAAGGAAAAGACTATTTTCCCAAGTTGCAAATGGGTACGCCCATGCCAGGGTCTACATCATACTGCTAGCAAGTGATGGAGCGCGACTTAGAAGGAAGCGGTTCTCCTGACCTCTGTGCCGTATTACCTTCTGATGTACAAGAACCTTGCAGATCCTGTTCTCTCCGGCCCCGACCTGCCTTCCTAGCCTCTCATTCTGTTATTGCACCTGACACACACAGCCCAATACTCAAACCAGCCTGCGTTTCTGCGCAGTTCCTTAACGCTCCAGGCTTACGGGCTTCCTCTGGTTGTACTTTTTTTTTTTTTTTT